AGAGAGAGAGAGAGAGAGAGAGAGAGAGAGAGAGGGATGTGTCAAGGCTCAAAGGGTGTAGTAACTAAGACGGAAGGGGTCACAGCCCACAGCATCACAACTGAGGGCGGCTCATAGATGACCGAGGGGGTTAAAGATGAAATTGTTCTCTGCCCTTTGGGTGAAGCATAGAGCCACCTTGGTATTTGGCGGCTCATACTCTCTCTCTCTCTCTCTCTCTCTCTCTCTCTCTCTCTCTCTCTCTCTCCCTCCTATCATTGTCAAAAATGAATAACGTCCACAGGATGAGACTTGCGAGGGTCATTTTAAACCTTTCCCTTTTTTGTTAAAAGTTCGTTGAAGTAGATGAATCATGTGCACGTAAATGTCTGACAAACATAGATATGTTTATATCCGTAGCAATTGTAAATATACGTTAACCTAATATACAGACAAATCTAGCTAGTACTCCCATTGTTGATGCGACTCTACTTTGATTGGCTTTTGGGTGGATGCTTTGTGTTACAAAAAGATAATGCCACAAAACCACAAGAACCTTAAACCTTTCGCCAACATTTCCCACATGGTACATGTCTGGTTTTAGTCTAACTTTAGTTGATATTAAAAGTTAATCGGTCTCGTTGATCAGCGTGATAGCTGTCTATAACCCATAGGCTTGAAAGAAAGAACGGATGTATGGTTGGTAAACAGAAACAAATTTTGATTGGTTTTTCTTTCTTTTTGTTACAACAAAGGAGTGTCTAAAATATCATAAACCAATAGACTAGAATTGGAGTAATATTGAAGATATTTTGCAGTTAACACAAAGACTTATGAGACCAACAAAAATCCAAATGAAGATAGACTCCAAGAGCTTGAACAGCATCAAGATAATGAGTAGGCAGTGATGAATTTGCATTGGCAACTAGTAATAGATGCATGCGTTTGGGTTGGGGAGATATCGTTAGCTAAATGCATTCTTTTGTAGCAATAGAGCTCACTGGGAGACTCTATTTAGGGACTCTCACCACCATCTTTAAAGACTCATTTAAGGACTTTAAAGGAATTTTTTGTGTCTTCAATGGGAGTCATTATTTAGGGACTCCCACCACCACTTTTAAAGACTCGTTAAGGGACTCAAAGAGAATAGACATGTCCCTAAAAGAATATTAGCTCCAATGAATGTGTCCTCATTGTATAATCCTTAAATTTAAGGACTAAAAGATTAAAAAATCATTGTTAGTTTCGCAGCCGTTGGTCTTAAAATAAAAAAAAAAAAAACAACTATCAGGACCGTTGTTTCTCATCTATAAACAAAAGAAAAGGCATTAGGCAAGTAACAATAATTCACGCGTGTTGGGTACATTAATGTTAGATGCACAGCATGACACACCCGTCGAAAACCTAGAAAAATCCTCAAATCGCCACTAACCCGCCGAAAACCTAGAAAATGGTGGCTGTCAATTCATCGTCTTCGATGCTCCGATTTACCAACCAAGGCTTGGGACTCATTCCTAAGTTCACAAGGAGTCAAACCATGGTGGTGGTCGACGGTGGTGACTTCAGAAACGACGGATCGCCGCCGTGAGTGCCCTCGAACTTGTCAGAGAATACAACATGAGTTCGTCATGAAATCTCCACTAACCACCATCAAGTTTGTGTGGAATTTGAAGAGGGAAGGTCGTTGAGTCGAATGGTGGTGGTGGGAGACTCCAACTCGCCGGAAAACGGACGGAAATGACGACGGAAGAAGCCGCCAGAAACCGGGTCAAAGGGATCTAGCCCTAGTTGGCTGCTCTCCCCCTTCTCTCATTTCCCTCCTTGTTGTCTCCTCCTATTGGTCATCTCCTCTCCTCCTTCTGGTTGGTCCATCCTCCTCTTTTCCCTCCTTGTTCTCCTTTCTTGATTGGGCAATTCCTTCCCCCATCTCTCTTTTCTTCCTCTCTCATCCGTCTCTCTCTCTTCCTCATCTCTCAACTAATTTTAAAATAATAATATAATAACAAAATAAATGTTAAAATAATAATATAATAATTATGAGAAATATATACAATAATAATTAGTGATTTTTACAAAAGTACTTTTCAGATTTGTAGTTCCGTAAAACCTCCGTCGTAACCCTGGCTTCGATTTTGCTTACGCCTACACATTTGTACCGTCAAGTACTTCGAGAATACAGTAAAGTGATAGCCATACACGTCACGAATGACGGTCAACGATCTTGGCTTTAGTGGCATTTTCATAATTCACCCCTTTGAAATTTATAAAATTGTAAAATTAGGGACGGGTCGTCACACAGCAGCTTCACACTTCTTCACGTGGGGAATTGGATCCCATCCAGATCCACTTGGTGGGGATCCTAGGGATCCCTATATCTTAGTCATTTATCATATATTATACGATCAGAAATCATTTGATTTTTTTTATTTAAAATTAAACACAAATAATATCTGACGAAAACTGATCACACGATATATGATGAACGGCTAGGATGTGGGGATCCCTAGGATCCCCACAAAGTGGATTTGGAGAGGATCCCTTTCCTTCACGTGGTGTGGCATTAGTCACATCACCCAACTCCCAAAAGAACATGGACCCCACCCCCATGGAGAGTCCCTATAGCGTCCCTATATTTGGGGTTTTGTTTGAGTACTCCGACAAGTCCCTATGCTTTACGGACTCCATTTTGGCCCATTGAAGAATGATTGACCTTATATGTAAGGTTTATACGGTGGTAGGAAAAATTTAGAGACATCATTGGAGATGTTCTAAAGAAATATTGCCTCCAATAGTAAAGTCCATATATCTTAAATTTGAGGTTTGTGTATTAAAACCCCCGATTAAATATGGCCCGTTTATTTTCTAACAATTAAAAAAAAATAAGAAAGAAGCAACATGTCATGTACTGCAAGACCCATGCCTGCAGTTGCGTTAGCAGCTGTCTGGCGATTAGAGTTATACCCGCATGTGTGGAAAGAGTTGGCAAACAACTGCACAACAACTTTCATGTGGTGAGCCTCATTTCCCACTCAAAACTCCTATTGGGCTCCACCATTTTCATTCCTATACAGTCCCTATATTTGGGTACATATCTCAAGTATTCGATAAGTCCCTGTACCCTAGGAACTAGCTTTGTTCCTCATTTATAGGGTAATACGGAGGTGGGGACTCATTACATCATCTTTCATAAAATACCTACTAAAATTGCAGCAAGGTTCTTTTTGGTCTGTGGTTTGATCTACTTTTGTGGTTTAATTGTTGTGGAAGATGATGGTGGTTGGGTCTGTGTCCTGGGAAAGGCAAGGGATGTGCGACGATGGTGAGGGAGAAAGAGAGGGATAATACTTGGGACAAGAGCTTGGGTTTCTTTGGAATTTCAACTTTTATTGGAAGGCGCAATGGGTATGAAAAATGGATTCCTCATCCCCTCAATCCTCCGGAATCTAAATACCATCCAATTGTTAGGAGTCCAATTCCTCCAAATCTCGGAATTGGATTCCAAAATTTGTGCGAGACCCATTAAATTTTGATTCCTCCAAATTTAGTAAATACCGAAGTATTCCATAATCAGAATTCAATTCCATTTCTTAATGACAATTACCCTTACATATACATGCCCTTAGTTACTTTCAGCATTGTTTTTCTGCTATTAATTTCATTTGCTAGTTTGAAATCTGATTAGAAAGATTTTAAGATATGTTGTCTCTCTTTAGGAGGGCCGGATCATGTTAATACACGATTTCTATGAAATGGACCTAAACTTCTTGCCACAGTGGCGCAAAGGGCCTGAGCTATCCTCATTCACTTGGACCCAAATATTGGAACCAGGTTAAATTCAGTTTCCACTACGAAGTCGCCAGTGGGGTTGACGGCTTAAAGCCCAATAGCAAATACAAAAGAATTGTTTTTTTTTTAACAAAAATACAAAAAATTGTTAACTACACTTTCTTTCTTTCTTATACACATTTTTGTTCATCTGATATTCGTTTGTTTAATTTATTCAATTTGATGAGTATAAATAAAAAAAATATGTTAAAGAAGCAAAAAATGTGTGACTATCATTTCCTAATAATATGTCTGATAAATAGAAAATACTAGGATGTGCTGTCCGCGCGCTATTGAGGCATTACAAAGCATATAGATAATTATGGATAAAAAATTATAAAAAATAAATTGAGTATAATTAGTAAGTTTAAAACTTTGTAGTAGCATAATATTGATTAACAAAAACAAAAGTATCAAGAAATAAAGAGTGAGTGGAATTGAGTACTTACTTGGGTTGAGAATCTGAATAATCGTTTTTCTTTGTCTGAGTTTGATTAACACCAGAAAAGTTGAGTTTGTTGTAATTAGCAACAATAGTTACATAAGAGTTTAAAAAAAGTTATGGAAACGATAATACCATTGAAGAACAGTTAATTTCTTAATATTATAACTTTAAAAATGAAATGAAAATGCATTCCGAGATGGATCAGAATTATGAGAAGTGATAATCTCAGCCTTGATTATTTGGAGCAATGGTCATCATTTTCGTCTTTTCTCTTCAGAGGAATTAGCTATTACCAATTTATACACACTCACTTCTTCTAATCTATTCCGAACATATAGTTAATTATTTGTTTGTTCACCGATAGATTTAAGATAAACATTAAAAAGATCAATCAAATGAATCAAATATGAAACTTTACACTTATAAGTAAAGAGCAATATAACTAAATTGTCGTGCTGATAACAAAAAGATACTAAACTTTTATTTCCACACAATGTTAATAACTATTTAGCCACTCAAAGTTCATTCTTTGTTCTTCCATAGTCATTTGCTCATTCCACCCACCATTTTGGAAAAGGATTATATATTAACAAAAATTTGTTAATTTTTGCCATGGTGAGAACAAACTGTTATAGCAATTTGATAACAAAGAGTGACAAAGCACAACAGAACAGAAAAACAAAAAAAAAACAGATTACTATTTCTTTTCATTTGTTTCATCCACCTGAACAAAACACAATACACAAACACATCTATTTAAATCAGGCTCACCTATATTATAAAAGGACCATCCAAACAACTGAAAAAATACACTTAACATGTATTCAACGTCTAATAAACGATTACCAAGTGATAAAATGATTACACTTAACTTGGTGCAAAAGATATTTAAACTATATTCTCCTCGGACAGCTTAACGATTACCAAGTGCTTGGCAACAGCTTTTGACAGATTAACAGCTTGTTGCATGATCAGAAATTCTCAGAATCACAACCATGGCCATACCTCCCACATACCTCCCACAACCATGGCCATACCTCCCACATACTCCTTTTCTTCATTTCAAGAGTTCTAGGAATTCAATTTTTTTTTTATAATAATTATAAAAGAAGTACATTTCTAATCTCCAATTCACTGATAAAATTTCGGTTTCTTTGATCACAATTTAGAGGTAAATTTCAGTTTCAGTAAATAAATTTGTAAAAAGATTCCTCGGCATCATTGTAGCTGGTACTTATGCATTTTATGGGTAATATCACATAGCATCGGCAGAAGAACGGTAAATAGGGTTTACGGACAATATTTCCAATTTCCAAAATTAAGATTACTTTGGTGTGAATTATGCGTTTCCAAAATCGATACAAACCCAATTTTCCCAATTTCTCGGTACCCCAACACATCTATCAAACCCTAATTGAAACTTGTGCTCCAATCAGGCGAACAAAGAAGCTCCCCCAATTCATTTTATTTTCCAATTTAAAGATCGTAACTTTGAATAAATCAAAATTGAGATTACCTTCGTGTGAATTGGCGTTTGAGGTTGAGGAAGCTGCTCTGATTCACGTCTGAAAACGCAATAACTGAAATCAAAACTCAGAAACGTACAACATAAAAAACACATACACAATATACGATTGAATAACATACCTCGATAGTTTGTGCAGCAAGAACAACGCTGACAAAATAACTGTACAAAACAACCATTTCAACGATCAGCAAGGGTTCAGAGTATAATCACCCTAATTAAAAAAAAAAAATTGACAACACCCCAAATCCTCCTAAAAATCCCTATCAGTCTATACCAACTCACCCCCAAAAATTTAGCACATATAACAAACAAACGATTTCAAACGCAATATATAGGCCAAAAAGAGCGGCGCTGTCCGAAAGAAGAATAAGAACACTGGAATCGAAGAGAAATAGGTCAAATCGAAGAGGAGGTGCGCAGAGCGATGAATGCATGGGCAAAAAATGAAGGAACTGCGAGCAACGATGTGTAGAAGAAAGGAAAGAACGCTGAAATCGAATAGGGAATCAAATGGATAAAAAGGATACCCAGGATGATGATCAACACAAGGCCAAAGAGCGGAAGAATCCCGAAGAAAAGAAGGGTAACAATAAGGGCAAGAATGCCATTTTACTGCAGCAGAGAGGGTAAAAAGGACCGCTAAGGAAGAAATGGGAGGGCATATTAGGGTATTCACTGTTTATGAACAGTGGCTCCTCTCGATGATGAACAGTAACTTTCTGCTGAGTTTTAGTAGATGTAAACTAGTGTAGTGCCCGCGCATTGCCGCGTGTTTAAAAAATGTATAAAATATATGTGCATTCATATTAGGTGTAATATTTACAATTGTATTTATACACATAATAATTTGTACCTGAAAGTTATATTGACTGTCGTTTCCCAATTTTTTTGTTTTATTTGTGATGATGTACATGCTTCTGTGTTATGATTTGAGAAAATAGAAGCTGTTAGTACAAATAAATAAGAATGTTAAAGAAGAAGAACGATTTTTATAATTGGTAAAGAAATTGGGTAATTTTTGCAGTTTTTAAATAAATTTAATAATATACTACAAAGAAAACTGCAAGGTACCTATTATTTTGATCAGCAATCTTCTCCAAATAGTAACACTGGATGATGACATAAACTGTCATAGCCTTCAAAAATGACAATTGGCAAAAACCTGTTTATATCGGAGATAAAATTTTAATGACATTCACAGGATAAAACCTGTTATTATTGTTCTAATATTATTGTTAAAAAATAAATAAATAAATAAATAAAAAGAAGAAGAAGAAAAAGCATTGATTGCTTTCTTTGTAAATTGAATTTACATACCATATGAGAGGTTAATCTAGCTTTGATCGAGATTTGTAGTACATGCTGAAGTTCTCAATGTTTGACGGTGATGGTATACAGTTGATTGACTCGTTTCAGATGAAGACAACTGTGAACATTTCTGAGCCAAAAGCTGTTGTGGAGTTTGTTAGAGAATTAAGCAATATATGTAAAAACTGAGAATTATTCCAAGTGATGAACCATGGATATATAGGAGTTTTATTTTATAGTGGAAAACAACATAAAACAATAAAAGAAAATCTTTACAAATTCGTTTGAATTTCCTATACCATATGTTACTGGGTTTTCAATTTTACACACCAATGTGCCTATCTTATTTGCAGCACGAAACCAACATTAACATATAACAAAAAGTTGAGTGTTTACCTGCCAATGTAGCAATAGGAACGAACACTATAGCTCCAATTCAAAGGTCAAACCTTTCTGCAAATAAATCACTCTACGTTTCACCAATTTATTCCATCTCACCACGAAAACTAAGCAAACACAAACCCATATTACAAAATTAACATTTAAAAGAAAATGGAGCTCGTCTTCTTGGAAATTTAAGCACCAATGCATAAAATTGTCCACTAATTCTTAGTTCTTCTATGCATTGCGGGATCATATGCTTACTTGCAATTGATGTTATAATTTGTGAATTTTATGTAAACGACCCTTAAGTTTATATATTGACAGTTAAGACGTAAGAAAAGCTAAAATATATTTACTCTGATTGATCAAATTACTTAGTCTAATTCCCAAAATATGTAATGTACAACATGGTCATCTTTACACATGTATTACGGAACAAACCAAAACCAAATTAAGGAATTTTAATTTAAAAACAAAGGTAAAACATAAGGTACAAATTACACTAAAGTATGGACATTGCATCCAAAAAAAGAATGGATCATTTACTGTCAAGTTAATATTGTAATCTCTTATTACATTATTGAGGTCTTCTTCGTACTGCAAAGATAATAAACAAAGTTTAAGTCCACTAATCTTGAGGCCAAATAAGAAACAATATCATAACTAAAAACTAAAATAGCTGACAAATAATTTGATCAAAGTGAATAGAAGATGAGCTGACAATGCCATACCCTACGATCAATGATAATTTGATACAATGCCACGTGGAAATTGCTTAGCCCATCTACTGAAGACTAAATGTGTGAAAAAATAGGCTGCAAAAGAAGAATAAATGAAGCATATGTTGAAAAAGAATATTTGGTCACAAATGACCTTACCGTTAAAAGTAAATTATAAGAACTTACCATGGGTATTGATAGAAGCAGGAGACTGTTCATAAAGATTTATCTATTACCAAAGAATTAGTGAAACACATGACTAAAATCAAATTCCTATCTACCCAAGTCTTTTTACAACTAAAAAAGTTGGGAACATTTAATCATAACCTGGAAGAAGAATCCATTTGGTGATTTGATTCAAACCTGGCTGAAATCTTCGAGTCTTCTTATGATTTCAAACATCTCCAAACCACCTGGTGTTTCAAAAAAACATCAAGCCCAATAAATACTACTCACACAACAAAAATTAATAAATATAAAAACCGAATTTGTTCAAATCAACACAAAAAACCAAAAACTCATAGGAGCTTCCTTCTGAGAATCTCAAACTCTAACCATTTCAAAAAAAGTTCTTCGCATTTCCTCAAATACGTGCTAAACTCTCTCCTACTGCTCAAAATCCAAATGAGTACTTGAGATATATAGAACCACATTTAAGTTAAAGCTATACTGCACTAAATGACATTCAAAACCACAAACACCAAAACAAAGATGAATTCAACACGTTGAATGTGTAATACTCATATCTAAATCCAATTTGAAACATAATTTTCGCCCTTAAAATTTTTTCAACAAATGAACAATCAATTTAGGAAAGCAACTACAATGCAACTGAAGAGCTGTTCGACTTAGCTCCATTTAGTATGGCCAAAAGCTTGAAAAACAGCTTAGAAGCACAATTCCAAATATTACCAAAAGCAAGCATCTTTGGGGTAAAGAGCCCACTTTCCCAAACAGAGCTTTAAGTTCATGCCACATGATTCGAATTAATTTATCACTAATATAAGTTTTAAAATGGTAAAAAAAGGAGGAAATACACCTATCACCCTGTTCACTGTGATCTTTGAAATCCAAGTTCCACTACGTATCCCTCTGCATAGCTGCATAACTTCCAGTGACGAACACGGTTTCAGAATATATAAACTTCAGAACTTAATTCATTCTATAAAATAGAATAAAAAAGTTGATTTACACTTGTAAGGCATGCTCCAATGTTGATAAAAGTTGAGTCAGTTGATTTGTGACCACCAACTGTAAACGAAAAATGTAAATGCTAAGTTAGTTTACATGTTTAAATCTTTTGGTAAATGCTAAGTTATGTTATTATCTATGATGGCATGCCAAAGACCAAATAAAAAAAATAACAGTAAAGAGTTAAAACTCAAAGTTGAAATACCATCTTCAATGTACCATCATATGCTAGCATTTAAAGTTGAATTGTTAAAATTTAAATCCTATGATCAACTCACCTTTCTTAATCTTTTCTGGAGGAATAAACAGAACGTTTCTTCTAATCTTCTTTAACCACTACACTAAAAAAAACAATAATGTTTAAATATTAAAATTGAAGATCTTAAATTCATAAGTTAAAAACTTAAAAGCTAGTTAAAATAAACATCCATTACAACAATAGCACGGAAATTAAGTTGTTTTATTTCTGAGCATTTTTTTGGCAATCAAACGGAGAAAATCTGTGTTAAACTAAACACGCAATGGTTGTTAAATTTAGTTCTTTAAATTTATAATTTTTTTAACATGTGAGTTGATCCGTACTTTTTAATTTGGTTTGGAAATGGGGTAAGATCATGTTGGTTTAAAACAATTGTTAACATGTTATGGTGGAATATATTATACCAAGGATTAAACAAATAGTTGCCATTTATTTCTTGCAATGCATTCACTGTTAATGAATAGTGACATCAAATTGATAAGTTTGTAGCTACATAGGAAAAAAGACTAATAGGTATTATGCACATAAGTAATCAACCAAAACCTCTTTCCACATCAACTAATCAATAGCTTTAACTGTAAAAAAAAAAAACAAAAAAATTGATTCGAAAAACCTCTGTAACTATTGTAATTTTCAGTTTCTAACTCATTCTTTTGATCAATATCATCTGAATCAGTGTAATTTCGTCAAATTCTAATCCATATTATCACTTGTGTGCCTAAAAACTAATCGACTCTTAACAGCAGCACAAAAAAAAATAAAAACTTGGAAAAACGAAGTTGTGTGCCTAAAGGCTTTGTTTTAAAAGACAGAGAAGGGCATAAGAACTTTACCTTAGGAATTTTCCCAACTCCGCTCAACCTTTTTACCCACCCTAAAAAATACTTCAAATCCGATCCACCTACTAAAACACAACCAAAAAAAAAAAAAAAAATTAGCAAACTAATAAACTTAATTATATATGATCATTTCACCACATATTTCAAATTAATTGGTGAAAAAATTAATTAATTAAAATGAGTTTAAAATAAATATAAAAACCAATAATAATTGTGATTGTCCATTTTCTGCTCCCTGGGCTTTCCACTTGGAGTTCAAGATAGCACGAAACCACTAAAAAAAAAAAAAACTATTCAATTTCTGAGACCAGAGAACAAAACCAAGCAAACACCACCAATGCAACAGAAACAACATAGTAAAATAGAGTTTTACAGAGAAAAAAAAAAAAAGAGAGAGAGGACTTTAATTTTACATCGATCGAGCAATCGATCTAGACGAAAACCCTAAATCTCGAAGACCAAGATTTCCTAAAACGAAAATTCGAATTAGATGGAACAGCCACACACAAATCATCGAAAAAAAAGAAGAAAAGTTTTAAAGAAAAAACTCACAGACCTTAATCAGAAGGGGTTTGCAAGGTTGTACACAAAAACCCTAAAATTCGCACACCAATTTTCCTGAAACAAAAAAACCCAATCAGATCAAACAACCACACTGAAAACATCAAAAAAAAAAAAAAAAAAAAAAAAAAAAAGAAAGGAAACAATCAGTGCAAAACGCAAAGACTTGAATTTTACAGCGATCAATCTGCAAATTTCTTCCCAATCAAAGAAAGGACAAAAAAAATATAAGCAAAGAAACCACCTGAAACAGTGCAATCACCCGGAAAAGAAACTCTTCATACGACACACGATCGACGCAGAGAGAGAAGCAGGGAAACACGAAGGATTGACGCAGGGAGAAAAGCACGGAAACAGAGAGGAAGAGAAAGGGAAAAGCGACGGAAGAAAATGGAAGAGAGTTAAGCAAGGAAACACGAAGATTGAACAGGGAGAAAAGCAGAGAGAAACAGAGAGCAGGCGAAAGGGAAAAGCAACGGAAGAAAATGAGAGATGGTTCGAGCACCTTCCCATATGTAGACTCACTCTACTAAGGGGCAAAATCGCCAATTCATGTAGCATCTTTTAAAGGGCTGAAAACCGTGCGTTAGATCAGGGGCAAAATCGGATTGACGCTGTTAATGAACAGTGCCAATCCGCTGAGCTTTAGTATATATAGAAATATAGAATGTATTATCCATTTTTGTAAACTTTGAACGCGTAAATTCCTCCAAAAATAGGGAGACCAATTAATTTGCACTTTCTAAATGATGTTTTACTGTAGTGGCAAAAAGTAATAATGTTTATATACTCTTCGATTATCACCGATCTTTCTCCTCTTAACAACCAATTTTAGTTAAAATGATCTCTGAAACAAAGGGGGCGTTGAAGATGTGCAAAAGGTGTAGTGGCACATGACCCCGAATTTTTTAGGGGCCCCAAAAAAATTTACCCTCCTATATATTACATATGTATAAATTTCTACTAAAAAAGTTTTAAACTGAAAAGAAAAAGCATCATCATATGATTTAATTTATATTACAATTGATTAAGTTAAGCTTATATTTAATATATTAATTTTCTACTTTTCTCTAGCAATAAAAACTTGTGTATTACTTTCTCCCACCAATACAAACGTATTTTTATCTCTCTTCAGTTATGCTCTATTTTTTCATAGATGAACTCTAAATCATGATTTTATGTTGGAGATTAGAACATCTCCAACGGAGACGTCAAATTCAAAATATCAAATTTCAATTTGATGGCGGACTTGATAATTTGACAAATTGTCTATATTTTTTTTTTCACCTGATATGCTAAAATTTATTACTTCATTTATGTTTTTTTTTAAACAAAATAAAAGGTGGGTTGTTGTTGGTTTAAAACTAATAAGAGTGAGATGCTAATTTCAAATAATTTTGAATATTGATTGTTGAGCTTTGCATGAATATATTGTCCAAAAAAATAATATTTAATAAGGAGGGCCTTTTTATTAAATTCGCACATGGCCCCCAAAATGTTAGAGACGGTCATGCTCTGAAATTGGCATAACTCCTCACTTTGGTCACTGAGATTTAAATTTGATAAAACTGGTCTCTAAGTTTGTCCACCGTCAATCATTTTGGTCTTCCATGAAAAATCTCTATTAAATAAGAAAATAACAAAAATACCCTCAATTTTTGTCAAATCATTTTGGCCCTTTTTTTATTAATTGAGGGTATTTTTGTCATTTTGATCCTTATTAGCAGCGGATTTTCACAGGAGGACCAAAATGATTGATGGTGGACAAATTCAGGGATCATTCTATAGATTTTAAATCTCAGGACTAAAGTAAGAAGTTATGTCAATCTCAAAGACCATTTTGACTAAAATGTCCTATTACTTTAACCCATTAATGCTACCGTTTTGTCAATTATATATGGGAGAAAATTTATGTTTTTCTTTTGACATTTGAAGAAGATTTATACTGTTTTCCTTTTTTTTTTTTTTTATCAATATCAGCTTTACATCTTTGTCAGTTCGTTGTGAAACGAACTCATTAGTATTCTATTTTTAGAAAAATTAATTTGGATTAAGGTTCATGACAGTTTTAGAATGTGGTTTTGGTGAGTTAACATAATTCTTTTTTAGTATATTTTAACAGGAAAAAGAAATAAAAGGTTGGTAACTTATAAGGTCTTCCAAGTAGTTTGAGTGAGTGTGACACTCAATTACCTACCTGAGTTTGTTACTTATAACACTATTGTTATACTAGTATGAGTTCAATATACCAATATCTCACTCAAATTTTTCGGGCAATTGTAAAAATGTGATTCCTATATGAGTTCAATATATTAGCTGCAGCACCTTAAGGGATGGCATAGCCTTGCAAGGTTCAAACGAGAAAAGGCTTACGGTGCATACCTAGGCACCCAGAGATTGGAATACCTACGAGGGAGTTATAATACTTTTTTAAAGGTTAATTATTAGTTTTATATTTTCTTTTTGTTGCTTCAGTGTAACACTTGTCTTTTTTTTTTTTTTTATTGTTTTATTTTTATACATGATAGTGTTAATGAGTTGAAATGTTAGTTATTAGGAGAGAAGAAAATCGGTGGAGATCAAACCCGAACCATGGTGTATAGGCATCAATTTTTTTCGCCATTGCGGTAAAGTGCAACCTGCCTTGTCATATTTTGTTTTGATGATTAGAAATTATATTTCCAAAAACAATTAATTAACAAAAACAAAAGTTAACTACGAGGAAGAAAAAAACAAAAGTTAATTAACCTGACAAAGGGAGTGGATTAAATTCATCACAAGAAAAAGCACATCCCAAATCCATGGCAAAACAAGAGTTGGAGAAAGAGGAGAAGAACAATGGCACAAGAGAGAGGCCTAACAAGAAGGAAGTCATCATCACTGTCTATGTTGAAACACCATCACCGTCTGATTCGTCCCATCAGAAAACTGATGATCATGTTAAGAAGATCAAGCCCAAGCATAGCTCCCAAAACCCTCATCAGACTGCGAAAACACGAATCCATGATCGCCGAGCTCGACTCCTTGCTTATTCTCAAGAGCTAAGAACAACTGGTGATTCCCAGAAAGTGCAATGGCCTAAGAGTGATTCAAAGCCAAAGCCTAGGGTGAGTTTTCATGCATATATAGATTGTTTGGTAATGTTGGTACATTGTTGATTTCGCGTCGATACTCCATTGATATATATATATATATATATATATATAGATGTAGTTGGTATATTGTTGATCTCTGTCGATAGATTGTTGAAATTTGATATCGACGATATAACAGACTAGTCTATAGTACCTATTATATTGTCGATATCAGTTCTCATAGTTGAATTCATACGAACGTATAAATTACAAAACTGAGGTACGTGTCTAGCATTACTCTGTTGATCATTTTAATATTTGGTATCGACAATGTAGGTAGATTTGTATCTGGTACCGGCAAATCACTCTCCGTAGTAGAAATGCACTTGAGTACACAAATTATCGAACTGAAATTCATGTGTGCTTGGTAGGTGGGAAACAAAAGGTTCACAACTCCAATAAGACTCGGAAGAACACAGAGCAGATGGAGATACCAGCGCTTAGCACAAGAAGTAGACGTATATTGCAATCCCAAATCCATCACAGGCAGGAACAAAAAGTCCGCCGAATCAGAAACAAGTTCTAACTTTCTGGTAAATCGCTTACACATTAATCAAATTGTTTCTGCTTCATTTCAGCAATTGAAATTTGAGAAATGATCGTTTCGGCCAATTTCTCTTTTCCTTTTTCTGTTTCATTATGCATAAGCAAATGGGTTATGGGATTATCCTTAATGTTAAATTAGGTGATATTGTTTTTGTTGGTGTGTTTGGGCAGAGGAAGCTAAGGTGTGTGCTGAGAGGAATATCTGGCTGGAGCTGCAACAAGGGATCCAAAGTTGCTGAGAGAAATAATCAGTGTTGTTTGATTTAGAGTTTTTAATGTTTATTTGCTTGAATGGGTCGTATGTCTTTTTTCGACCCACTTATCCTGCCCTGTTTCTTACAGAAGTAAAATTTAAGATCCATTTTTAACTCCACCTTTTAAACATCTTGCCAAGTTAAAAATACTCAAAACAAGGGAAGTTATTGCACAAAAATCCATAACTTACGTGTAAAATGATGAGAGTTTGGCTCCTTACGGAATAGGAGTCAATTCTTCTTACATGCAAATCACAAGGTCACACATACTGAAAATATCGTCAGTTCCATTTTATTTACAGCCCAGCAGAAAAATACAATAGATTCTACTTGCTATGATTTTAACGAGTTACTTTTGCATTAGTATCATACCGTCATTTGCGGGTGATAGGGAATTCAAATTCCATAGGAACCCCTAAAACAGAGGGTCCAAAATAAAGGAGGGCCCCTAAACCCACCTGGTGATTCACACAAGGAAATACATTATTCCTCCAGAAGCTGTACACCAGCTATAAATGAAATTGGCAAAAGAATCAACACGGTAGGTCACTGAATTCAGAATTTAAGAGAAGATAAAAAGAAGGTACACTATTCACCCCTGTTGAAAGACAAAGAATAACCGATCAATACAATCTACGAGGAATATTGAACACGAAACTGCCCTCAAGTATCCAGGGTTTATGCCCAGCCATCTGCATTTCCTACAACCTGTTAATCAGTAACCTGTCACTAATCACAGCGTGCAATCCAGGCCGCAGAAGCAATGATTCGAAACCAAAAAAGTGGGTTCAACTGCCTAAGTTTCCAATGAAAATGACAATACTTCTAACGCATACCATAACAAGGTGCATCAATGAGGTGAATGCATTGAAAAGAAAATCGCAAAAGTAGAATGCATTCTCCCCAACATTTGGGCAATTTTCGTCATAAGAATCGTCCAGGTTCTCTAATTCTACGCTGCACGCCCCCACCTCTAAGCCCGACAAGCCTCCGCACCACTCCCCTGCCTCGAACAGAACCACGTCGAGGTGCAAAGGCAGAACGAGAAGCTGAAGCACGCAAAAAACCATTTTCATCCAAAATCGTGCGCCGTGAGAAGAGACCACCAATATCAAATGAACCAAATCCAAAATCATCTGAGTCACTGTCATCATCTAGCTCCGAATCAGAATCACTGTAAATGCCATCAGGGTTTGGCTCCAGCACATAATCCCCCATGATCACTGCCCCTGGAGTAGATGACACTATTGTGCTGATAACATCACTTCGCTCTCTCTCATACTCAAGCTTCTTCCATTTTTCTTCAAGTAAAGGATCCACTTCTCGGGGTCGTGCCAATGGGTGCTTTGCCTTAACATGTTTTCTGAGCTGTTTATAAGTTCCAGCAAATGAGCAATTTTCCTGCAAGCATGTTCTCTTCTTGGCATCAAAATATTCTCGTGCTGGTTCCACCACTGTCCAACCCTTCACTTGCCCCCGACATAGCGGGCATAAAAGCTCTGGTACATCTGTCTTCTCCTTGGGCTCCCCTTCACTTGAACTGAAACCTAAACTGTCCATTGGTCCATTCCATGGTTGAGAATTTTGAATTGAACATGCTTTTGTGTACGCTTTCTTATATTGTTCGAGACAGTTTGAATAGCGATGGCCAGTGGCACACATATATGGGCGACAACCCTTATTATAAGAGGAACAAAGGAGGAGAACAGCATTGTGAGGGAACTCCATGCAGACCGAACATGTCACATTTTCCCAATCTTTCTTCTCCACTGCTTTGTGAGGTTTCTTTTTTGAATGCACATCTTTAAGAACCTTTAATGGATGCTGGATCTTCTTTACAGCTCGGAAGTCATGTTTACGTCGCAACTTGTTAACTTTGGCCATTTACAAAACACAACCTGAAATCCATCAAGAGAAAAAGAAAGAGAAAGGGAAAGGATATTATTCTTACAAATCTTCGGCATTCTAAGAATAAAGATGAGTAAACAAACTAGGTTGCTTGCATACATCTCATGCACAACAAAACATATGTGCAAATTGACTCTAAGATCTCCCTAATGACTCATGTATCAAACACATCCAACAATTGTGTCCCTAAAAAGGAAAAGTAAATCAGGTTCTCGGAATCTTTCATATTGTACGTATAAGTTCAAAATGCTATTTGTGTGGTGTCATTCTTGAAACATAAGTCCATTTAATACAGCAAATCAAATTTTTTTTGTTTTAAAAGCAAAAGGAATTTTCTGCAAAATCATAGGAACTATAATTGACAAGTGAGAACAATTCAACCGTTGACAATTTGCAATTTCGATATACAATTTGTTTACATTACCATTTACAAACCATAATTCATCATTTTATTTAGCGGGTAAGATTGAGACATAAAAAATAACCAGATTACAGAAGAAGTGAAAGTAAAATGGACAACAACATGGGATTCTGAGATCAAACGAGCACAATTTTTTCCATGCAGCAACCAAACCCCAGTGACTAAAAAGGGAGGGGTTTTTTTTTTTTTTTAAGTTTTGCAGTGTATCCAAGATAAAATTATAAAAATTTCCAGACAGATCTTTGTAAAGATTTGGCTGGCCTAGCTTCATGCTTAGGAACAAAAAATATCAACAAATTCATGGAGATCCGACGAAATCTCTACTGACTGACATTATCAAATTTAGTAGCTGTCATATTGTTAAGAGAACTCAATCTGTGAGCCTCTGCATGGGAAATATAAGTGCATACCACTCATATAATACAATTTTTATTACAGATTTAAACATCAAGAATACCATAATAATCACAGAATACTTCATGTTTATTTGAATCAGTCTTTTACACTCATTGTCCTTCTTCCACCAGTCCACTCTCATCCCATATCGGCCCGATTTTCTATTCCTTATTAAAACCTCATCAAATTGCATACCAATAGCTTGTGCTTATCCTTACTAGAATATAATAAGATAGGGAATAATCAATCATATGAGCACAATATCTCTTCGTCTTTTTTTTGGTACAAGTGGAAATGATCATCTGAAGCATCACATGCCAGGGCCGATAAAACAATGAAATGATTGTAAAAACAATTAGGATTCAGAATTAGAAATAATCTAAACAGACGGATCAGTTTAAAGTTACAAGTGACAATAATTTGACCATAAAAAGAAATCCTTTCAGACATTAGGCACTACAGAAAATAAAAAACAAAACATTTCCTATGTTTTCACTTCTGCAATTTATAGACTTTTCTAGGTTAGAAGTGATTAGAAGTATTGATGAGATACCGTAGTTAGTTAATACTCCTACGCCCGTAATTTCGGTTAAACACGCAGATTTAAAATGAGATACACCACTAGGAGGACATCACAAAGAATTAAAATTGAGCAGTAGACAACCTGAAAAGATTACATCATTTGACTAAATTGCTCTAAACTAGCACTTATTCGAATAAACACTTCCAAAAATGTGGGAAAAAGACGAAAAACTCAAGCATGCATTTACTTTCAGGATCAAAATGTCACATAAATAAATCAGAAGTTGTAATCAATCGCTTGACAAAAGCAAAAAAACCTAATTGGACCGGCAAAAGGCCTGAAGGCCCTGAACTTTACAGTTTATGCAATCCGAGATCCTTTAGAAACAAATTGTACGGACGAAAACATGAACGAGCAGTGAAAATTTGAAAATGCAAACAGAAATCGAAATGCAAATCTACATGTAATACTACGTACGCGTTCACAAATGAATCTGAAATCCCTAGAAACAAACAGGAGCAATTCACATAGCAAAGGGGTTCTTCGCAACGATCGAGACAAAGCAAACGGGAAGACTAAAACCCTAGAAACGAAATCGAAGAAAGGCGCGAAAATTGAGATCGGCGGAGGAGTCGGGTTCAGTCAGTACCTGGGAAGCGGCGGAAAGGAAATGAGGCGGCGGCAATTACGGCGGGAGAGAGAGGGGAAGGTGGGGAGGAGAGAGGAGGGAGAGTTTTGGATTTGGTGGGAATGTGGAGGCGGAGAAAGTGAGGTGAAGGAGGGTTGGGGGAGAGTGAAAGGTTGGATCTTGGCGGGTCACGTGGGAGGAGAGAGGGAGTTGCGTGCCGTTTTTATGGTTGCTGCGATCGATGGCGTTGGTGGTGCACCATAATGTTGTCATCTGCATCACAGACGATGAAAACGACGATGAAGCCGGAGGCTTTTTGGTTGGGTTCAACCGAAAATCATTTGGGCCCACCAAGCTGAAATTCTGAGTCTCTGAGAGAGTCCATTTGTAGTGTGTGCTGGGCCCAGCCAGACCCGAACACATTGTTTACGGGTAACCTGCAACAAGCGACGCTGCTACAACCCTTTTGCGTTTGAATTGTTTTTATTTAGTACATGTTAAATGGATTTGCATAACAAATTAGTCCTGTGACAGAGAAAAAATAAAAAAAATTAGCCCTGTGAAGAAAGTGCAGGCATGTCTGCACGCGGACTGTGAGAGGTCGGTTGAGCAGTGCATACACCTCAGCTATGCTCTGAACCGGCTTCTCACAGTCCACAATTCAAACATCCAGCGCTGAACTGGCCTCTACAGATGTTTGTTGCTGATGTCAACATTGACTAATGGTTTAAGTTGAAAATGCATGAAAAACCATGGAATGTTTCGTATTGGTTTTCCAAGTTACACAGAAAAAAAATAAAAAATAAGAAAAAGTCTAAATTGATGACTGATTCCCAAACAGTTGGCTATTCTATCTCCATGAATATAAAGACTTTTTCTTTGTAAACATGAACATAAAGTCTAAATTGTATGCTAAGTAAAATATTATACACAGATTACAGATTGTATAACGTAAGCCTGCCAATTGCAACACCGTCGATGACAAATTATATACGCCTTCCAATTGCAACACCATCGATAACAAATTATATACACATTGCGATTCCTTTCCATTTCTTACACATCTAACTACAACAACTTACTGAATAACTTACTTTGGAACTAGAAGGAGAAAACACAGAGACATCAAACACCTATCTAAATAAGGGCAAAAGAAAATCACATCCTACAACAGACGAATACGCTTGAATAATTTCTTACTAGACTGCTCGCTCCACGGTGAAAGATTTTCAGAGTAAGGAGGTGTGCACCCGAAGGGGGTTAGCAGATCCTGCGACGACCTTGAAAATTGATGAACGCACATGCACTCTACTAGCGTAAGCCAATATTTGATGGCTGAACACTGGATACCGGAGCAAGTTACGGAACGTGGATTAAATGTCCTGCATCTCTAGTGTTGGACAGAGCTGTTACCAAAAAGCAAAGAATATACTAAACAGTGAACGCATTGGATTCTACAAGTATTTTCTTTTAGTTTACATTCACGGGAAGAGTGAGCAACAAATATGAAGCAGTGGAACACAAATCCAATCTTTTACCTTATATCACAACTTATATCTGAACAAATATTTTCAGCTGGGCCCCCGGTGATGATAAGGAGATGCTGATCCAGAAGACGTGGGAGGGGTCTCTTAAGAAATGGATGAATTAAGAGCTGAGCAGCAGTGGGACGTTTTTTTGGATCAACTTGTAGGCATTGATTGATGAAATCTTGTGCATCCTTTGAAAGAGAATCAGGAATCTGAGGGGGCTCCCCCTTACCAATCTTAAATAATGCTTGCATCTGTTGAGACACAAGAAGAGACCATGTCAGAAACAAATTAGAGGTCAAAAGAGATGCACCATCCAACACATTGTCGTCATCCCTAGAGTATAGACCATATAGAGTACAACTTATAATGAAATTGGCACGAACCCATTCAAGATTAGAGTATGGAACCCGCCCGGTTAACATCTCCAACACAGTGCATCCAAGGCTCCATATATCAGCTGGAAGCCCATAACCTTGGCTCTTTCGGTTAACAACCTGCACAAGAATAAGATGACTGAGAAATACACGAATAAAATTTGGACACAGCCTATAACATTCATGTATCAATATATTCAGCCTTTTCAGAGGCTAGACATTTCAAATACAGAATTAGGTCCATTCCGCCTACATGTTTGAAAAAGATACTCCATGTGATGTGATATATAGAAAAAAAAACAGAAGTTGGCAAACATTCAAGTTGCAAGATGCATCAAAACATGACAACTATCATAAGCCATCGGCATCGTTATAAAATTTTCTAGCCTTGACACAAGATGTGGGATATTTTTTAGACTGAGAAAAGATATAGGATATCTGTAACTTACCGTACCTTATTTCAATTAATTCAGCTTAATTAACAAAAGCAAATCAATGAACAATATTGCTGCGTGTCTGGCTGTGTTCTTGGAGAAAATTTAATTAGGGTAGAAATCAGAAAAAAAAATACATCCTGCAATAACCAGGATGTAATTCAGGAAGCAAGTAAACTTTGGGAAAATCATCCTGCAATAACCACTAAATTTAGCAATCCATGATTGTACAACGAGTTTCCATCAGTATCAAATTGAAGTACATTATGTCCTTGATTAAAAGAAAAGGAGAGCTCATAAGCATTCAAAATAGTCTAATATTTTTAACTTTTGATAACTCAAATTAAAACTAAAATGTACAGGCAAACCTCTGGAGCCATCCAGAATGCAGTCCCCTGGCAAGATTTAATGTCATTCATATTTTGGATAGTCTGAAAAAAAAAGGACGCAACAAAAAATATTAGGAGAAAAATAGTTCACAATCACTTGTAAGTTGCAAATATCGAAAACACTAATACAGCAAAGATTTCGAGGCATGAAAAGACAAACCTTTGCCAATCCAAAATCTGCAAGCTTCACAGATCCATTTGCATGCACCAAAATGTTTGCACATTTAATGTCCCTTAATACACGAAACAAATGGATGAGAATGGATGCAGACAAAATTACAGAAGCAAAGCATGGAATGAACATTGTGATGGCATAGCCACTTTTATTTTCGTTCTGTTATGGGATGACCCTGACATGAGATGGCTCATTGGTGGAAAAGGAAAACATAATCCACATGATATAACTTTCAAATAAACATATATCTTGTGACACGAATTACCTGTGAACCACTTTTCGGTCATGAAGATACTTCAGTCCATGCAGGATCTGTCTTGTGTATTCAGATACATGAGAATCTGTAAGATGATATGTCTGATAGAGTTTTTGAAGGGAACCTTTAGCTACAAGCTCCAGAAAGATATAAAGGTTTGATTCATCCTACAACAACCATTGAGCAAATTATACATCAGATACTGGTGCTCAGAACCAGATTAGATTGATAAGTACAAGAGCAATCTAATGTTGAATTAGTAAATGTATGCTATGGGAAAACTAGAGTAAATCATAATCACACAATGTAATATACTATCAATATGAAACAGGTCAGAAATGCTTAAGCTTACACCCAATACAACTACAATTGTTGATACTACAAATGCTTAATACTTTTGGAGTCAAAGAAGACCATCAAATAATATGGCCAAAGTGGCTGAAAGTAACCGGTAACCCCCCAGGTATATACATGACACCGTGGCCAATATAATTTTATATCTAAAATCAATTTGCATGTGAGTCAAAATAAGAAAACTAAATCAATGTATGAGAATATTTTGTGTACATTAAGGTGGACTTTTTGTAGATGGGCGACACTGTCAAATATAAATAAAAAGGAAGTTATACTGGCATGAATTTGTAGCATTTTATATACTGAACAGATGATCTTGACATGCATAAATACTCACATGGGACATAAAGGCATAGCATGACCAAAAAAACATGGGGCATACAAATAAAAAGGAGTACCTTTTGGGTGCCATAATATTGAACTATGTTATGATGTTCAAACTGACTCAAAAGAGCAATCTCCTGAGAAAAAAAAAAAAAAAAACACGGAATCACAAAATGAGGAAAAGTATGTCAGCAAGAAACAATAATCAACCTAGGCTGTACTCACATATAATAACTGAATCAATTACTTAATAACAAGGTATTGACATGCAAAACCTGGACACAAGACCAGACACAACAAAAGCCTCAGTCACCTGTTCAAGTTGATAAACTCTTTGCTTTCCCTGACTTCCTTTATCAAGCAACGAAACTTCCTTGACAGCAATGAAGCATCCGCCACTGGGAGGAAAGGAAAAACATAATCAATAAGATATCTCAAATAAGGGAAAGATGCAGCATAGTTGCTCTTTAAAAAGCACATTTGTACTATTTAATTCATTAGGGAAGCTTTGCAGCAAAACAAAGAACTAATTCATTTTCATGTACAGTTATCAAACTAAACATATAGGAATAAAGGTTCTATGAATAAAAATAACTACGTCGAAGTGGCAAAGATAAAATAACTACGAAATTGCATTCCCATTCCCCTATTAAAAGAAAAGACGATACCACAAAGCCTCAATCATTTCATTCCCTAACAAAACAAGCTTGGGCCTAAGGTTCAAGCTATTGTTGGGCTTAAGCTCAGAAAAAAATCCGGACAGCTGATCCAGCCAAAAGTATGTCTCAGCTGGGCTTATTTGCGGAACAGGTGTCTGCTATCTCTAAAAACATAGCAACCATAACCTCTCATATGAATCACCTTCCTCTTATGCTTAACAAACCCAAGTACATCTGCAACTCACTACCTAGAACTATATTTGCAAAAAGGGTTCCTAGCATAACTCAGTTGTCCATACATTAGCAGACCACCAGGATGGCATGATATATTGGCTTGTAGTTCTCAAAAACACTTTAAACCCCATGAAGCAGGAAAATTAAGATATGCTTTAAGACTCATATAGAAACATAAAAAGGACAAGAAGCCTAAAAATCCCTTATCAAAAACCCTTTGAATTCCAATATATGTCTGCAAAAAAAGCTTTTACTAGTGCAAATTTAGCACTTGATTGGAGCAAGGACTCATATTCGAACAGCTATCATCTTAAGATCTTCATTCTATAAGTGATTCTTCCAATCAAATCTAAATAATGCCCTTCAAACTTCCTATCTAGAACACTCCATCAAGCTAGGCTGGTCTTGCATCACTAGTATCCTAAGGCAAATGAGGTCATCTATCTACTCTTCCATCACGTAAATTTCAAAACCAATTGGAACCCTTTCTTTAACCATCACCATTGAGCACTTATGTTATGTAGCCTCCACCTATCTACTTCCCAAGTCCCAAGAACAGCAAGCTATCCTTCAAATGCTGATCTTTCTTCCCTGAGCAAGCTTATTATATCATTATTTATCCCTCTGAGCTATTAAAGCATTTGTTTCTCCTAATTACTAATTGTTGCTTTAAATTTGTTCTTAGTTCTTAAACATATTGAAGTTTCCAATCTTATTACATATACAAGAATAAGCATTAATAAGAAACTGTAAAGGGCTTTGAGCACTTACTCAGAAATTGCTTCATACACCGACCCGAAAGACCCACTGCCAAGAAGGTCACCCTTCTCCCAGTGAGTGATAATAAGCTTCAGCCTCCCATTCGGCGAAATTCTCTCATTCGGAGAAACAGTGGTGGTGCTGGAAGAATCATCATCATTCGACGTCGTAAATGAACACCCTTCAGAGACCGGCACAGTATCTCTAATCTCAATCTCCACAGCACCCTCCTCTCCAACCTCTCCTTCTTCTTCTTCTTCTTCTTCTTCTTCTTCTTTTTCATCAGAAGAGGAAGCTGCAGAAGAAGAATCAATCCTTTTTCCCACAGGGTTTCCTGCGCCTTCTGGCGCGAAATCCCTCAGAATGTCCCAAGTCGAGCATCCGTCGTCGATCACCGGAACCCTCATCGACGGCGGCGGCTTGAGCACCGGCGGCCGCACACCCTTGATCCCAACACAAACCCCAGCTGAAACAGAAGTAGCAGCTGCAGCAGCAGCAGCATTATAACACCCGCTGGGAACGGCCGAGTCAGCCCGAGTCAACTCAGTTGCAGCAACAGTAACAGCCCTAACTCTACCGGACAACTCAGCCACTTCTTCCCTCAATACGTCAGGTTTCGGACTATCCAGACTATCCAACCCGTACAATCTGGAGATCGGGAGACGGTCTGAAGACGAGCGGATCTTCCGGGCCACCCAGTCCTCCTCCGATATCGAGAAGTCGTCGGGTCCGAGGCCCAAGGTCTTGTATATCCGCTCCATATCGCCCTCGTTCCCCTCGACCCGGAAGCTCGTCCGGTCCAGGTCGAACGAGCGCGTGTAGAGCGACGCCGACGACGACGAGTTGTCGAGTGAGGACGAAGTCGAGGCAGCGTCGTAGTCAATGTGCTTCGCCGCATTGCGGCGCTCGAGCCTCGGCTTCCGGCGGTTCTTCTTCGGATCCATAGCTTTCGTTCCCTTGCTATGAGAGAATAATCGAGGTAAGTGATGCATAGGGAGCTAAATCCATCTAAATTTTTCCACCTCAGCTCGGGAAATTCGATCGGAGAAAGCAAGCGACGATGTAGTGCACTTGTGTCTGATTTTCTCAGCTGATTTTCTGTTTGTTTCCCAAGAAAATCGAGCAAGAAAATGGAGGGAGGGGTTTGGGGGCGTTTTCGGGAAACGCTGACCAAAAAGGGGAGATGGTGGGAATTTTGGAGACTGGTAAACGCCGTCGAAGGGTGAGAAAAAAAAGGGAAAACGCGGTGCCACGTGGCAGTTTATGGGCTTGGAGGAGTGGGGACCACTTGCCAAGGATCTATCTAGGGCTTTTTGCGGTACGTCTGAGAAGGCGCGCAGATTCTAAAGCGTACGCCCTACGTCCGCGCAAAGATCTTGCTTACGTTTGGGTGACAGTAGATGAATGGATGAAGTTAAAATCTAATTTTTTAACTCAAAATAATTTATTTTCAAACTAAGAAGTAGTCTTCAATGATTTTGGTTGAAGTTTTAACTTAAAATTATTAAATAATGATCACTTAGTACTACGATTTAGTAGTATTACTCTTCACTTGTAAGTGAGATGTTTTAGGTTCGATTCTCGTCAAATGTGAATTTGAACCATATTATTATTAGTCCATTGTGACACTAAGTCCACCCTCTCATTCTTGGTCTAGATTATATTGTTTGTTCAAAATATAGTCTAAAATATTATATTTCTAGCTTTTTTTCTTAAACGTTCTAAAACCATCTCCAACTCTTGAGTTAAAACCTGAAATTTTTAACATAGAAAATTTAAGTTTTAATCCATAAACAGTTTTTCTTCTTCAACCCTTCTAAGTTAAACCTTTAGTCCGAGATTATTAAATAATAAATTTTGGATAATTTTTTTTCTTAAAGTAACTTTAAAATATATATATATATATATATATGTGTAGACTATCCTAATTTAATTTTATGAATATTTTAACCTAAAAATATTTAGATTTCGATAAATATTGTAAAATCACTAAACTGACACAATGAAACTCGTGGAACATTATGAAAGAATACGAAACACATAAAATAAAAAAAAATTCCAATTACTTTAGCCGTTAGATTTAAATTTGGACCATTAGATCTTTCTTTTTTTATTGTTCGATTTGATCATATTAGATTTTAGCCATTGGATTCAATGAATTTATAAATATAAAACTAAAAAAATACACATATATGATGGGTCAGCCCCCACTAACCTGGGGGATTCATGAGCTAAATTTGCTTCAGAAATGAGTTTTGGGTTAAAACTCATATTTGCCCCAAGGATTGAAGGAAGATGGGTAAATTTAGAACCTAAAATTTAAGTTTTACTCCAAGATTTGAAATAGATCTAAGTGGTGAAGCCACTTGAAGTGAAGATAATGCAAGCCTTCAAGTTCCATTAAAAAAATTTTAGAGTTAACTTAAAAAAAATATTTAACTAAACCCAAAAAATAGTAAAGATAAGTTTAATGGGCTTTCAAGATAGGTAGTTAGAAAAAATTTAGGGTGCAGCAAACCAGACCACGTGTCTATGCAACTCCAAATACAAGAAATATTCACCTACCCAACCTCCTGATTTGTCATGTTAACTCTGGCCCACTTTTATCCCACCCCCTCTCACACCACCCCTAATCCGGATGCGGCGCACAAGAACCTTTCTTTTGGTTGGTGTAAAATATTAAAATCTTTAAAAGTGATTAGTTTTTAAATAAAAATATTAAGTATTTGGATACTAAATCCTTAACCAAATGTAAATTTGAAATGTAAAAATCATGTTTGCATTTTGCTTTTGAATACAAGCACTATTACTCCACCAAGCTATAATAAGTGGAGGACATAGCGGGTTGAAGAAGAATGATCTATCAAACATGACAATCTACCACTTGACTGCATCTTATTTATGTTGAATCCCACGTTGCTCTTATTTTTTATGAGATATAACCAAGTCATTTTGGTGCAATCATCAACAAAAATGACAAGTCAACGAACTCCTTATTGAGTAGTAATTGGAGATGGCCCCCACACATTGGAATGAATCAATTCAAAAGGAACTGTTCTTTTAGGTAGCGTTTGGTACGCAGACGGGACGGGACGGAACAGATGTTCTGTGTTATGTTTGGTACGCGCAGGACGGAACAAGACGGTTGTTCCGTCCTGCGTTTGGTAGCACATGGACGGAACGGAACCAAAAGATTAAAATGACTAAAATACCCATGTTCCGCTGTTGTTTGGTACAATTTTATGGGCGGAACGGGACATGACTCCTTTTTTTTTTTTTTTTAATAAGTTGTTCAAATTTGAACACTATTATCCATTATTTGTTTTTCTTGGTCCAAATTTTAATAGGTATATGTTGTGTTTCACATGCAAACCCCTTTAAAATTTGTAATTTTTCCCGTTTTCTACACCTCCATTCGAATTTTCACCACAAACCCATCAAATTTTATTGTGCAAATTGCAAAACCCACACCCCAATTCAATTTTTAGTCCCTAATTTTGGCCCTTTCAATTGTGGGTTGTTGTTGTTAAGGATGGATTTATAAGATGTTACAATCCTATCACTAAGGAAATAAATAATTTACATAAAATCATAATAAACTACGAATCCCAAGAATACAGGAATATATACACAAAAGTTAACAAATTGTTGAAGAGAGCTGGAGTATTCAAAGTAGGTGTGGATGGTTGGAGAAATGGCAACGAGAATTAAACTCTTCTAGTGAAAATTTGATGAAATGGAGTAGAAGAAAATTTAACAGAGGAAGGGAGGAAATTGATCATCTAATGCATTATTTGGGTTGCCTCCATGATAATTGGGAGGAACATGGTGAGCAGATTAAGGCCTTGATAGAGTGTATTAACAAATTGAAAGAAAGAGAAAAGAAGTTTTAACTAGGTCTCGAATCAAATGGATGCAGGTTGGGATTCTAACTCAAAGTTCTTTCACTAGACCACCATATAGAATAGATGATTTAATACAGTTGAAAAATTGCAAAACATTCAAGGGGTATGGATAGAGGAGGCGAATGTTACATGGTAGACAGTGGAAGAGCATTTCATCAACTTGTTCATGTCTGGGGGTTAGCAAGATTGGGGGGCTATCCTTGACTATGTTATCCTAATAATATCAGAGAAGGTGAACAATGATTATACAAAGCCAATTAGCAATGACGAGATCAAGGATGATTTGTTCCCAATAGGGTGTTTAAAGGCTCTAGGCCTTGACGGTTTTGAAAGAGATTTTTCCCATTCCTTTTTGGATATTATCTCGGAAGAGATCAATGGCCTAGTTCAGGATTTCTCGAGTGGGGGAACAAGCCCCAAGCACCTTAATAGGTTCTACAAACATTAGAATTGGCCTTGTTTAGAAGGACACCCCTCTAAATATTACCCATTGCAGGAACAAGGCAAACCACATAAGAGCACATGACAAATGTTGAAAAATATATAAGTTTAATGATCATGCATATCGTAAACATTTTAGGGTTTAAACATTTAGAACTTAAACAAAGAAAATGAAATATGCATAACTTAAACATGAAATATCCGAAATCAAACATTCATCCTGACTTAAAAAACAAATAATGTCTTGCGAAAGTAATAATGAAAACACTTAGAAGTTGATAAAGTTCCCCATACTAAAACCACAAATACTAAAACCTCAAAGGCTCTCCATAAACACTTTAATGAAATCTGGCTTCTGTGAGTCATCCAAGGTGGTCCAAATACCCATCAGATCGGTATCTTTCACTAACTTCATTGAAATTCTTAACACCTGATTGTATGGGAGACCCATGGCCTGAAGCTCAGAAGGTAGTCTAGCTTTTGCTTCTCTAAAAGTAAAACTTTCACCTAATGTCTTCATTTCAGTAACAGCTTTATTCCAACCTTCACTGATAACAGATACAATATTTGCATCACCATCATTCCTGCTCCTCTTCCTCTTCCTAACAGGCTGAGAAGCACTAGATGTAGCAACAGAAGGAGATGGGGTAGGTGAAAGCGGAGGTATCTCAGAAGTCTCACAATCCTCACTTTCCAAACCCATATTTTCAATTGCATCTGCCGCTGATTCAGCAATGCTACCCGTGGCTCGGTCTCTCCCAAACACCGTACATAGCCGTGGATACAACGGGAATGGCTTATTTGGTTTGCAAGATGCATTGAGATGTTTCTACAATAAGAACCCAAAGAAATCAAGGTTAAGACTTTCAAAGCAACTAATTGATAAAGAATAAGAAAAAAAAAATTTACCTTCACCCACTCCTGTAGTATTTCGTCACTATCCACAACAACACATTTTTTCTCATCATCCCAACCAAATCCAGATGTATTCATCATGTCATATGCAGACGAATACTTTTCTTTCAAACGCTTCAATTTGTTTTGTATATGCTTCGGCTCTATATTAATGCCAGGAATCTGTTCCCTCATCTTGGAGGCAACCGTTACAAAAGTATCAGCCTTAAAATTGTCGGTCTCACACCTAACACCATCAGCAACCATCTCCTCGAGGATGATAAGTAGTACATCATCCTCATGATCAATCCAATTACGTGAGGTGGCCATATAATCTATCAAATAAGCCATATATTACACAAGTACACAAATAAATTTATATTAGTTGTACTAATCAATTATCAAATCAAATAAGCCAAATCAAATGACAATGACTAAATTTATATTAGTTGTACTAATCAATTACCAAATCAAATAAGCCAAATCAAATGACAATGACTACACCCTAATTTTAAAATTTATTAAAATTTAGTAACACAAATAAACATATCAAATAAGCCATAACATCTAGATAACTCCCAATTACCATATTACAATAACAAACATCTCAATAGTCTTGAGTCCCCATCTAAAAGACAATTACAACAACTACCATGTTAACCAATTTTCAAGCCCTTCTTCTTCTCCACTCATCATATATTTCTCTTACAAGATCATCCCTCCATTGAGTCCATATTTGGCTTGACTCAACGGTTTCAATGTAGGCTAATACTTCTGCTAAATCTTCCCCTATAGGTAATTCATCAAATGCAAGCCTTGCATTTTCTTCAGGATCAACTGCCATATACATTCTGATAAAATTATGAAGTAAACTACATGCGGTGATCATTCGTCCCTGAATCTTGATTGGATAGTGGGAAGGACTTCGTAAGATAGCCCAACGTCGTTTGAGGAGGCCAAAACATCTCTCAATGACATTTCTAGCACGTGAGTGTTTCATATTAAAATATTCTTCATGATTCCTAGGTGCCCGTGAATTGTTTTCCCACTCTTGCAAATGGTATCTAGTGCCTCTATACGGTGCCAGAAAACCCTCACCATTCGTATATCCGGAATCAACCAAATAATATGTACCTATATTAGTTGATAATAAATTTTAGTTGTTGACCAACAAAGGTAAGGAAAAATACTAGGTGCTTGTTTATCTTACTAGTTGGGACCTTGAGGCCATTAGCTCTAGTAACAGCGTCACCAAGAACTCTCGAATCAGTAGATGATCCCTCCCAACCGAATAACACATATACGAATTTGAGGTCGTGTGTGCATACGCCTAACACATTAGTTGCTATATGACCCTTCCTTGTTCTATATCTTGGTCTATCGGCATCAGGCACAGTGACCCCTATGTATGTTCCATCTAGCGCTCCTAAGCAACCCTAGACAAAAGAAAAACTTATATTAATTAGCAATTACAAATAATTATGTTATTAATGATTTTACCATGATTATTACCTTAAAGCATTTCCATCTCGATTCCGTGCAATCCTCTGGGATAGGGGTTGGTTTTGCAAACAACACATCTTGCAAACTGAGTAATGCACGCAATACTCTACGGACATATCGACTAATAGTTTCACCAGACCTAAAAAATCTAACTTGCATTGACCTATTTTTATTGTGGTGGGCTAATATGTTAACAAAAGTAGCTACTTGCTCCTCTATTGTAACATGACCATCATCTACCAATCCACCACGAGTTTGTAGTAAATCACATAAAACTGCAAATGCATTCCTATCCATTCGTAGCTCCCACAAACAGTTAGTATCACTCAATCGCGTGATACGATTTATTTCCTCTCTCCTAACATGAAGTCTAACAAATGTCCTCTGCTCTAAACTAGCTATTTCCCGTTGTCTCCTTTGTTGTTGTCTATACCTCAACAATTGTGCATTCATAGTAAAGACTTGTGCCATTATAATCCAAACGTTCAAAAGAACAAAGAATTGAGTCTCATATTCATCCATACCTTCACATGCAAAAAAACAACACATGAATGAGTGGAGTATCAACATACGCTAAATTCATTTTAGATACTTGGACTTGGTAATAATGATAATATAATGTATAATAAAAAGCAAGGCCCAACAAACTATACAACGCAAAATAGTTCACTTGGAGGGTTTGGTTTAGACTAATGAAGTAAGTCATTGAAATTAAAAGGAAGTAATAATATATAATGTTTATGGACGTTGCTTTCTTAGCCTAAAACCATTGAGCCATATGATCCAGTGCCAGTGTATGGACCGGACCATACTAGTCCATATAACTATCATGTTATATTTTATTATAGTTAAGCAATGATGAAAACCAAAAGAACGAATTTTTATGTACAGAGACAGAACATTACCATAAGAAAAAAAGGAATGAAGTCCTCAAGAAACGTTGGCTACCAAAAGGGAACCAGCAACTCACCTTATTTATGTGCCACAAAATTCCCAATTGCACTGATTAGAGTGCTAGAATATGGCAAGTTGTAAGCGGATATACCTGCAATAACAAACTAACATTTAATATGAAAAATTAGGAAAGTAGAAGTAAGATCAGTCATGTCTCATAATGAAAAATAGAAGACTAATAAACAACCACGAGGCACAAACCCTTGCCTCTCAAAAGTTAAACAGAGTATTATTAGCATTTGATTGCCAACAATAACATAGAAACTGTAATGCAGACAGCGGGCATGTAGGTTGGTAGAGATTAAGAATAACTGAGACCACATACGTGACTAACATATGAACATATTTTGCAAAAACTGTTTGGCCCGTGCAAGAGTCTGGATACCAAGAGCCAATCAATCGAACGATATAGTTTGATTGATTATGAAGGTTCCAAAGTAATATGATTATATTGGATATGACATTACCTCCATAAAGCATTGTGCAACATAAATTCCTCATAACTATCAATCCAATCCTATATATGTCCCTTACAATTACAACTGAAGTCTTCTCCCCTAACTTCACAGATCAAGTTTGACTTGATTTCAAACATGCAACAATTAAGTCATCTCCCCTCATTTTTTCGTGTACCCTATTTTTTCTACATTCTCATTTCCTAACTTTCCTTTGCAAAACTAAAGCAGACCACTTAGTTTCCTGATAAAGGCATAGTTCAGATGATTTGAGCATGACATCACGAAACTGTTTTGGCTTTCTAAGGGTTGTCTGAGTGTCAGTTAGGGATCAATGGTTTGGAAAGCTGCAAACGAGATTGGGCCTGTTTTTCTCCAATTGCTATATTTACAAAAATATAAATCAATACAGCTCTGGAAACAAGATATGTTTGAAAGAAATGTTCACAAAGACAAAAATCATTAGTCATTACAATCCAATTACAGACATGATTACTTCAAGCTAAAATTGTGGTTTTCAGTTTGATTAGCCATAAACAATTTCAAGAAATAAATATATCAAAACACCTGATACTGCCTATACAGCCAAGATGCCCTTTATGCTTCTAGGTTAGCTCACCACAGATTGATCCTCGTCCAAGTCTAAAGACATTTGTGTGTTGGGGGGTGGGCGTGTGTTGGAAGGGAGTTGGAATTTTTTGTGTTTACAACCTATTCTAGTTATCTATCTCTCCACCCAGTTCTATACCACTTCATTTTTAGCTCAAGCGAGACCCTTCTAATTTTCCATAACTTATACGCCCTTAAATGACATGACTTGTTAATTAAATCCTAAACCAAAAGCCCAGGACAATAAGATAAAAGGCATTTGCACATACATAATGGAGCCATATTCTTTCACTGTTAACAAGAAACAATCAGAGTTATAACCTAGCAAACACATATAGGACTTGATATCCAATGATTATACCAAAACTAGAGTATTTGGTCGACTCAGAATCCTAGGAGCACAAAGCAGCCTCTGTATTTTTCCAATATAAATTTCCTAATCAACATAAATATAATTCTCTGTATTGTCGGTATATGGAAGCCTAATTGAAAATGTTTATATAACAGCATTTATCTTAAACAGGCTGCACTCTGCCATCTCACTTTTGGTAATTATATGTTCAAACACTACTATAAACATCATGCTTGAAAATAAGTCTTGCATAACCGACATCAACCTTTTAATGCTTATAAAATTTCTTGAAATTCTGTGCTTGTTTCTTGAACCAACTCATATCAACACTTTTTTTCTCAGTCCATCTTCAAAGAAATGGTGTTTTTAGTAACAAACATGAATTCAGACAAGAATGTGATATTGAATTTGGCCCAGATTTAATGTGCAAGCTGGAATGACACATTAGGGGATCAATGGTTTGGAAAGCTGCAAACGAGATTGGGCCTGTTTTTCTCCAATTGCTATATTTACAAAAATATAAATCAATACAGCTCTGGAAACAAGATATGTTTGAAAGAAATGTTCACAAAGACAAAAATCATTAGTCATTACAATCCAATTACAGGCATGATTACTTCAAGCTAAAACTTAAGACAAACATGACAGGGCGTTCAACGAACGAAGACAACAAAAAGTCAAGAGAAGTGCAAAAGCTAGCCTATTATAACTTTTGAAACCTCTAAAACACGAGCGATGAATAGCTAAATCCTGAAATCCACTAAGACCTAAAGGCATTAACAAAACCAGCTCACTCACTTCAAATCAATATCCATACAAATATGATAAAATCAACAAAACCCAAATTGCTTACCTTTCCTATGAGATAGAAAGGAGAAAGCTTTATCTTTCAAGCAAACACCCATAGGAACAACAACCCTGTTGCCCAGAAAGCAAGAAAAGCACCTCAAAGGAGAAAACCTAAATCAGATCAAAGTACCAAAACCCTGATGCCCAAAAATCCCTTTTTTTTTCCCATTTCACAAAATACAAATTACAGATTGATATGTATTTACTCAAGAAACAAAATCAGAACCATACAACTCAACAATCAAGAACACAAAGGCATCCAAGAAACACCAAATTGACCAAATTGACCGTCCAGAAAGACAGATTGAAAGCGGAAACAGAAACCAAAGAAAAAAATGTACCAGACCCAGATGAGAAATCACCAAAAAAAACTAGGCCTGGTTCCTTGTTCTGGCCAAGTGCCCGAAAGATCAGCTAGTATTCGCTGGCCCCAGATGAGAAATCGCTATTTTTTATTTTATTTTTTCGAAAGATCAGTTAGTATTTTGCTGCACTCTAGTTGATACAAAATATCAAACACAAACAGAGAACAAATAAAAAGACAACAAATAAACAGAGAACAAATACATAAACCAAGAACAAATAAAAAACATTTGAACAATCGAAGAAAGAGAGACCGAGAGCTACACGAAAACAGATCGAACCTGGAACGGAGATGCAAAGCTGAAGATGCTACGGAAGAGGATGAGGAGGAAGGTTCGCAGAGCTGCTACACGGAAGATGCAGAGGTGAAGAGGCTACAGGGAAGAAGATGAGGAGGAAAGGGAAGATGCAGAGGAAGGAACACGACGACTGAGAAGAAGAGGGATAGTTTTTAGGGTTTGTTATATGATTTTTGATGTAAATTTTGAAAAAGACAATGGGCATTTTTGTCTTAAAATTTTGGAAATTTCTGTCCTACAGACATGGAACAACTCGTTCCAGGGTGGGGGTGTGGAACAAAAAATCATCCAAAAATTGTTCCGTGGAACAACGCGTTCCACTCATTTTAGGCGCACCAAACCTGGGACGGAACGCCTCGTCCCACTCTGTTCCGTCCGGTCCCGCGTACCAAACGCGACCTTATTGAAACTTGGAGAATATGAAGCACGATGACTTTTAGCTAATGTGCAGATATTACACTTGAGACAAGAAAATGAAATATTATTAAATAACGAAGGAAGTAATTTTCGTAAATAACCGAATGAGGCATGACAAAGATGATGATGCCATAACTGAACAGTCTTCAACTTTCCATTATCCTGACTTCGAACTTGAGGAGCACGACTCTGTGCAACATCATCAACATAGTACAACCCCCTTCTCTTAGTACCACGCCTATTAATCGCTTGCGTCCGGGTATCCTTAAGTAAATAGAAGGAAGGAAACAATAGCACAACACAGTTTAATTGTTTGGTGACTTGTCCCACAGATAATAAATGGCTAGACAATGTGGGAACGAGTAAACTATTTTGAAAGGAAAGAGTCAAGGTAAGTGCGATTGATATAGCCCTTGTAACTGGAGCAACTCCTTCATTGGCAGTAACGATAATATTTCATGGAGGCGGCATGGAATTAAAGAGAGTACGATCATAAGTTATATGATCAGTAGCTCCGTAATCAATAATCCAACCTGTATCATGATTAATGGACGCAATTAGGGCAGTGCTTGTGTTACCTGGGTCGTCAGATTCCCCATTTGAAAGAATCGTATCTAATCAAGAGAGATGTGAGCCCAATTCATTTGGGTCTATTTTCTAGTTTGTTTTCATAGGTGGGAAGGTTGGGCCCATGGCATTTGGGCTGGCTGCAGAAGCTACTGTTGCTTTTCCATAAGAATGTTGGGCTACTGATGTGGTAGGCCTGCTTCTAAGTGCTGTAACAATTCTCCTTGTTTGTGTGGGATGGTAAGCCCACTTGCAGATGTAACCCTATTGTCATCCATAGATTGTGGCCTCAATGAGTTCTTTTTGCTCCTAATTCAAGATTTTTATGAAAGTCTTTTGTCTCGAGACTTTCAACCTTTGAAAATAGGTAATTGTTTTAGGTTTGTGGATTTGGCTACAAGTCAAATAACTCTTGGCTTTCTGCAATCGACTGGGCAACTAGCAAGAAATTTGTTTTTCACGCTGGCAATAACTAAGATTAGGATTGAGGAAGAGACAGGCTAAAACCTGCTCCGATGCCAAAATAAAAGTTATGTTTAGGGTTTAATTTCTTATCTGTAATTCTTCTCCTTCTTTGACGTGATATATATATATATATATATATATATATATAAGATATAACTTGTGATAAAAGTAACATTAAAGGAGTTTTAACCAAACTAGGAAACATTATTATATTCCTAATCTATAAGACTCACGCCAACACTCCCTCTTAAGTTGGTGCATAGATATCTCCTAAGCTCCACTTGTCAAGTGA